ATTGTTCGTAGGTAATATAGTTCTATTTGCACAGGACTTGATTATTTTATGGCTCGATAACTTATCCTAGCTTAAGCAAGACGTAGGTCTGCGAGCTTAGTAGTACGTTATTGTGGGTGAAGTTTTTGGTCTATTATGTTACTAGCCTACGTCCGCAAATTCGGTGTACCTCGGTATTGTTGCTAAGGAAACTTTCATCTTACATAACAAGTATTATTAATTATTTGTCAATATAATCTATTGTTCGGTGTTATTCCGTCTTCTGGAAACACAATGATTGTGTTTGCTGTTGCTTGCTTTAAAAATTATTGAATTTATTAAAAAATACAATGTCTCATGTAAATCTTTTAACACGAAGAGCAGGATTTTCTTATTCAAGTATATTATTTACTTAAAAGAATAACCCAATCGCCACACAGAATTAAAAATTATGGTATTCGATAAGGAATTTAAGATTTGGATATGAATTGAAATTTTAGAGTGGAAATGCATTATGACTATTGGGTTATGAAATCTTGCCTCTTTTTTATAGATTGGTTCGACAAATAACTCCACCCCACCTGCTGTTAAGTGAAGGTAAAGTCCAGACGCGAACCTGCCGGTGTGCATGTTGCTTCTTCACGCCTCTTTTAAAAGAGCTTTTAAAGCCTTTCCTCGACCCCATACTATATTATGTAGATTTATGGCTACATCATTATCAGCGTATTAATGCCCGTATCATTAGAGCACAGCTCAAACCTACGGACGTATAAGGATAACATTTTTCTTTGTTCGTCATTAAACTTGCCGTTGCAGGTTTATTTTTTAATTTCCACGCATTATTTGAGAGAAGTACTTTTAAGCCTGGGCCACAACTAGCATTGTTGGACTTACATATTTCTTCCATCAATACCTGTTTTTGTTGCCGCTGCTGTAATGTAAGTACTATAGCTTCCAAACCTCAAAGCATGACTCTATGTGCTCCTCGTTGGCTACATACCACCTAGTCTCCTTAGCGTCGAATAAAATAATGCAGTAATGAAAATAGAAGAACTATTCATCGTCCATAACGGATTCCGCGAGCAGTAGACACGATTGCATCTTTAATAAATTAGGCTCGGGTCAGCCGGCTGCGAGCCAAAGGTCACAGATTAACAACTGGCTATTTCGGGCTGTGACCTGCTCCACTCCATTAAGTTCTGTTCTTGATACTCCGTGTTTGCCTATACATGGGCAGATTTTGTAAAGAAGCTAAGGGCCCTTTTACTAATAGGATCGACGACATGGTAAAGTAAATGGAATTCTATTTATCCGTCATTTAGATTATCAAAAAATAATATACAGTTATTCTTAAGGATCCGTATCTCTCTGTCCATCATCGAAAAAAAATGGTTACGTATCTCGAAAGGAAAAAACGGAACCCTTATAGGATCACTTTGTAGTCGGGTCCATAAATGGAATTCTATTTATCTATTTATCCGTCATTTAGATTATCAAAAGATAATAGACACTTGTTTTTAGAGTTCCGTATCTCGAAAGGAAAAAACGGAACCCTTATAGGATCACTTTCTTGTCCGTCCGTCCGTCCGTCAAGACCCTTTTCTGAGGAACGCTAAGGAGGTATCAAGCTGTAATTTATATCAAATACTCAAGTCTACTGTGCCTTGAAGCTGTGAAAAAAACATACTTGGAAGCCAACGCAATCAAAAAATACAGCCGTTTATGTCGCTAATTTTCGAAACTCGCTAGGAAATCAAAACCTACAGGGTACTTCCCGTGAACTCAGAATTTTGAAATTTGGTACGGAGCAACGTCTTGTAGCATAGATATCGAAAAAATTGAAAGTAGGTATATAATATTTTTTAATAATTATTATATACCTACAGGTTTGTACAGAACCATCGGTGTGCAGGTCCGACTCGCACTTGGCCGTTTTTTTTTCTTGTGTCGACCAACATAAAAAATACAATGATAAAGCGCATCAAAGTTTGGGAGTAGGGGCTCGTGACATCACTGTTTAGTAAAAATTGCACGAAAACGTGACGTCACGCGACATTTCAAATCAAATCTCTGAAATGTTTTCATCGTGTGAAAAACTAAAAAAATACGTGTCAAATATTTTTTGATAATCTTTAATACCTGATAGACGAAGAAAAAAAGTTAGAATTTATCTTTATTTTCTGGTTAAGAATAATTACCTAATAACCTATCCATGTTGAGCAAATATAATCTCTGATTAATATACTGTTTAACCTAAAAAGTAGTTAAAACTGAGGAGCTGGCGAACAAAGCGGTATAATTACGCATATGGTTTAGACCATATATTCCTTTTTTTTACAGCCCGTAGGTGATGGGCCAGCTGAATTTGAATTTCAACTCATATCAATCAAAACCGCCTAAATTAGTGTTAAAATTACTAAATTAAAAATCACGCCAAATGCTCACTGTAGGTATGTCATTCAGTTTCTTTACAGCTCCTGTAAAATTTAATTTGATATCATTATACCGGTTTGTTCGCCAGCTCCTCAACTATTATTGTAATACGATCACGTAATAAAACGTTAATATAATTAACTGCTTGATGAGCACAAAGAACTGAGCAAAAGGGTGCTGCCAGCGGAGATGAGTCTGCCCTAACTACTTTGATATTTAAGATGTAAATATTTAATTACACCTATTATCAATAACTCTATTTGTATTTTTACTGTGTGACACAGGAATCAAAATGCAGGTGAACAATTAATGTATTATTTCACATTATGTAATGAAAGGCGACTTCATGAATCATCTCTGAAGTCATTTTTCAACTTGACGATTCTGTAAATGATAAAACAGGGAGAAAAAACCGGCCCTTGCTGAGTTTCTTGCCGGTTCTTCTCAGTACAAGGTCTCCCGCCGTAGATTTACGAACTGATGGCGTAGCTTCTAGACATTCATATGTGCTTGTTACAGCCTAAACTGAATAAATTATTTTGATTATGACTATTATGAACATTACTGCCGCATCAGTGTCTTGTGAAAGAAAGGCGAGGTACATTTCATTGTTTGATAGCTATTCGTTACTAAAATATTCAGATTATCTTATTATGGTTTGCCTGGCATAAGCAATTTATCGATAAAAAGGTAGGCTAAAGAAAATTTCTTGCTAAGGTTGACCTTTACCTAGAAATTTTCTGAATAAACACATTATTTTCAGATAGATTACGAATTCATGGGTAACATAAAGCCACTGATACGGTAATTTTCTTGTTCTCAATCTCGTCTCATCATATTTTTTCTTTGCCATTAGTACACTAACTTTGTTCTGGTAAGTGGTGTTTTTTTTTCTAGTTTATTTGAGCTATTTACCAACTCGATAGATGAGACTGAACAAACGTGTGTCCAAATATATTATACATATATTTTTTTCTGATTCTCAAGCTACACCTTTCCACTAGACCTACTTCTAAAAGGTTGCTATATAAGGAAATTAAAGATAAAGTTAGATTTAAAAAAAAAAGGTTTGCGTATATGCCTTGTCAAAAATACTAAATCTGGGTCCGTAGAAAAATTGTCATTCTCTCTATAAAATTACTTGACAGGAGCTCAATGCATTCAATAAATGAAATAGGTAAGGCAAAAATATCGCTAATTCCATAATGGAAAAAGACGATGAAACAACATTTTTTCGGTTTTATCTGTGCTGTTTCCGCTGTCAATTCGTGAGAGCTAAAACAGTTTCCCGCTTGTGTGTGTACAAATGTGTGTTTCCCTTTGAGGCCTGGCTTCAGAAAGAGCGCATGTTGGTGGCAGGCGAGCACCGAGTACTCTCGTGTTTGCTTCGTTAGCCAAATTAACGTGTTAACCTGCAAGCGGCTCAAGTATACCGCCACAGGATTTGCCACTTGCCTAAGTATGTGGTTTTGCCACTGAGCAAAAGTCCCTCGCTTTTTGATATTTTTTGCAAAATCGATGTTACTTTGGAATGATTATATTGCATACATGCCAAAGCGAGTTACATAACAAAAATAAGACATTTATTGACAAATTCGTGATTTTGAAAATTAGGATAGGTATCAATGCAAATTGCAATAACACCTTCAAAACAACAGCAACCAAAGGAAATACGTTAGACAAATCAAAAGGTAAATAAGTACCAAATATTTAATTGTCTCAAACTTACAAATTACTTTATTGATTTAATATTTTGCTACGTATATGTAGGTTCTAGTTGAAATCGCAAAACAATAGGGAATATATTAATATGAGTAAAGACAACTTCGCGGTAATAGATAGGCTATTTTTTATTTTATTATTCTTGGATCCTAACTGTACAGTTTGGATGGCTTGCGTGATACTGCTCGAAAAAGTGACACCTGCCAGCTTGTCACCCACACGGAGGGAAATTTAGTCCATTCCTCCAGTAAACTAACAATTTGCGTGGGATGACAACCAGCTGACACTTTATTTTTATTTCGTTAAAACGTCAATATAGGAATGAAGTGAATTTTTTATAAAGTGGCAGTTTAAATATTATTGGAAAAAGACTATTGTTAAAAGCAGAATGTCATAAAGACAATTTTTCACAGGGCTTCGTCTCATTTTTTTTGTTATAGCAACCGGAGATAATTTGCAAACATTTTGTAACGACCTTCGGTTAAGAATACCTAAAATAATATCAAAGTAAATTAAATAAATTATTTGGTGAATTTAGTGGCACAATTTAATTAACGAAATTCTACTAAGTCCGCCTGTTTGATTATAAAAAAATGTAGGGCGCTTATTTTTTCTTTTCTCAATCGGCAAAACAAAACAAAGACGAAGGAAGGGAATGAGTGGGTCGTGCCGTCACTTCTAAGTAAAATTGTGCCAAGACGTGAATTCATGCGATATTTCAAATCAATACATCTTTATCACGTTTTGATTATGTAAAATAAGAGAAAATATACGTGTCCTATACTTTTTGATAATACCTAAAAGACGAAGAAAAAATAGTTTAGTCATCATCCCCATTGTTATTAAGTTAATTAGAAAACACTTACGTGGGTGAAGTAGTAATAGTAGACATCCACCCCAGCATCGGCCAAGATCTCCGCGAAGTAGTTGGTGGGGCACACGAAGAAATAATCGCCAACCACGTCAGCTATCATCTTCTGGTTTAGATAGCCATCTGTGATTTCCTCCCAGTCAGTGTACTGAAAATATAACAGAAAAAACAAGGTTTTTATATACTAATATTATATAGAAAGATTTGATTGTTTGTTTGTATTGAAAAAGCACCGAAACTACTGGACCGATTCGAAAAATCCTTTCAGATTTAGAATCTTCCATTATCCGTGATATAGGCTACAGAGTATTTTCAACAAATTCATCATCAGGTTCCGTATGAAAACTTCGATAATGTAACCCAACGTGTGTAAATAAAAACAAAAAATAACCTTACTCTGCGGAAGTCATTGACAATAGAACAAAGTGATGTTCTAAAGTTTTATAGGGGACATCATTATCCCCAAAAAACTCCGCAATACCATATGTCTAACTATCACAGTTATGTCACAACAAGAGGTCCCCTGCGGTTACATCCACGTTAATTTGAACAAAAAGGTTATAGTGAGTCAAACTTAAAATATGGATATATTTTGTTGCGGACTTTTTACAGAACTTTTTATACATGATGTTTGTGTAACTTTAACCGTTTACTCAGCGTACGAAACGGAATCTCACAACTGCTGCTACTGGTCGTAGCCTGATGCTATATAGCCTATTATAGCCTTTCTCGATAAATGCACTATCCAATACAAAAATATTTTTCAAATCGGAACAGCAAAGCAATGGTGCATTCGGTACAACGGGTCCTAAACTACGCAACATTTTTTTTACTAGGAATGGAAGGATTATAATTATTAGAAAGAGCGAAGCGACGGCGGGCCACTAGTAATTTATAAGGCCGATATACTATCTTTTCGCCTATACACCATCTTCACTTGACGTAAGTATTTATTTATGAAAAAGTATGAGTCTCCGATATTTCGGCACTGTTGTAAGCGCCATGAAATATTGGACACTAATAAAAAACGGTCTAGTACCCATTGGACCCTCAAGACTCGACCCAAAAGCAAAAAGTGCCCATTGGACCTCTTTTTTGGTGTCCATTGGACCGTCTTAAAACATTTTATATTCAATGTGCCCATTGGACCACTTTTTTGGTGCCCATTGGACCTCTTTTTAAGTGCCCATTGGACCTTCAAAATTATACCCTACTGCCAGTTGGACCTTATTAACAGTTTTGTTAAGCACAGTACAGTCATGTAGAAAATTGCAGACAAAAATAAAATTAATAGTAGGTATTATAAGGCCACTAACCAAATACTTTATAAGTACTGACTCCAACCAGTAAGTAGTCCTAAACAAATTATAAAGAAATCAGGTTACCTTTTTTCTTCGAATCAACGATATTTCGCCGTCCCCGGAGAATAAAAAGATAACTACAAAAATGTAAGTTTTCAAGAAAAATAAAAAAAACTGTTTTTCGTTTATTGCTCTATAAATACTGGACGCAGACAGATGATAGTAACCTTTAAGAAAAGCTAATTTTTAAAACATTTGGATTTTTAGTAAGGTACTCGTACAATAAGATATAAGGGAGATATTTAGAAAATAAAAAGTGAATCAAAAGTAATCAAAATTTAATTTGTATAATGTTTATTTTTATTTTATTCTTATTGACAAGGAGCCAAAACCAAATATTGCACTACTGACATGTATTTTTATTCTATGGGTTATAAGGGTGCAAGTGACAATGATAATACTTCTATATCTTTTTATTTTCGTAAATATTGTAAAACCTTTTTTTCTTTAAAGATCATTTTATATGTTTATGCTTTAGCTTTAAAGGAATGATCATTAATTACATTAATTTTAAATTTAATTGCATTAATGATCATTAATGTAAAAAGTTTTCACTCAATAGGGCGATCGTACACTGACCAATAAATACCCTTACAGCGCAACACCAAATCCACAAGACCTTTCAAATCGAACATAGTTCGATTGATTCCAAGTTCCTTAAAACAGCTTGGATCTAGACAATCTAAGCAACATGACGGTGGATTTTGCAAAGACATCATCTTTTGATCTAAGACTGAAATTCTGAGGGAGACTGAGTGTTTTTTTTATCGGCAGTTATACTCCTCATAAGCACCTGATGAAAGGAAGGTTATAGATTCCAAGCCCAAGCAATCTCTGCGCTTAAACAAAAGGATGGCGCCGATCTCATATCTGGGAGAGAGAGAGAAATATTGCTGTCTCGTTCTGATTTATGAACTATGTTGCAGCTAGAAAATAATCTTACAACCGTAGGCCATTGCTTAGAAAAATTACTCACATATGTGTCTGAAATATTTAATTTGGTAATTTATAATGTTTTACAAAAGAAGACTGTTAAATTTTTTATGGAGGTTGGTAGTGGGTCTTTCGGCAGACTCCAAGTTTTTATGAGATGCAGCGCATTTAATTGTGAATCGTTTGACAAAAAACTAGAATTTTATTTTATCCCGGTTTTTTATATTAAAATAACATAAACCTATCTAATAATTGATTTGCAAATGGCAAGTTTATCATTGGGAAACCACCCAATCATTGGCACTCGTCCTATTATTGGCACTTTGAGTTTAATTCGAAAAAAACAGGGAGACAATAGATTATTCAAGGTCGTTACATATTAAAAAGAAAAACCTAGTATGGTTATGAAATTTGAAAATTGGCAGCATTATTCCTACAATCTATTGTTTCCTGGTTTTTTCGAACTACACTCAAAAGTGCCAATAATAGGAAGAGTGCCAACGATTGGGTAGTTTCCCCTAATTCTGATAATAATCCATGACTGGACTGATTGACATTTTCCATAGTGATTGAGTTGACGTTATAAGCCACCACGCACTAAAAATATGACGTTACTAAGATAGGGTGGCCAGCATACTTACAAAGTTGTTTAATTATTAAACACGATTTTAAAATAATCGGTAATGAATAAAAAAATCAAAGTATCTATTCATGTTATACAAACTTTCAAATTATATATATTTCGTCCCTGCCGGAAACCGACTACCGATTTTGAACCATATCCTTTAGTTAAAGTATGTTTTTATAATAAGCAATTTCTCGTTAATTGTAAAAATATGATTAGAAAACATTTTTTATAAAATGTAATATGAAAATATTACATTGGTATTTTATTTTATGAATATTTAGAATACGTAATAATTGTGCTTCAATAGTTAATCTGAGTGATATAAAAACTGTATGTATAATTTAGTTAAGATATCTGATAAAAAAAATATTTTTAAAAGTAAAATAACCAAATCTGTGATTTGATTATTATATTATTTTGTTGCTGATGATTGATGTTTCGAATTTTATAAATATGTTGATTTTAAATACTTACATTTATAACCTTTGTGCTTTTATTTATTTTATCAATATTTAGAATATATAGTAATTGTGCTTAATCTGTGTGATATAACAAACCATATTTATAATTTAGTTAAGCTATTTGATAAAAAATAATTTCTATTGGCTTTAAAAGTAAAGTTAAAAATCTGTGATTTGATTATTATATTTTATGTAAATATTGGTTTGTTACTGATGATGAGTGTTTTGAATTTTATAAATATGTTGATTAAATACTTAGATTTATAACCTTTGTGTTTTTATGTCTTTTACAATGTTACTTTACTACACGACTGTACTTTACCGTTCCAAAAGAATTAGCCAAATAGTTAAGATCTCCAATAGCTCTCATTGTGTCGTTAAGTACGTCTTTGAGGGTCCAATGGGCACCATGTTCTTGATAGGAGGTCGAACGGGCACTTTTTTGTAGGTAAGGTCCAATTAGGAGGGTCCAATGGGTACTAACAACGTACATGGTAATTATCCCGTTAATAGCTATAATGTTAGTGACCTAGAAAGTTTAAAATAATATATCAAGGCACAGCTCAAACCACTGAACGGATTGCGCTCTGCGTTGATACATCAATCAGTTTGGCACGGATTGCGCTGAAATTTGTCTATATATTATAATGCAAGCGTGCGCTAAGAAAGGATTTTCCAAAACTCATCCCTTAAAGGGGTAACGTTCAAAGTTTGTATGGTGCATTAAGATTGCAAGGTTAATCCTTAAATTAAATGAGCAATTTTTCCACGCAGATGATGTCGCGGGCCAGTATTATTAAGATATTCTTAAACTTATGAAAGTTTACTGACTGATCTGGGTTTTGTCACTGTTCTCTCTCATAATACGTGCAAAGTGCAATGACCTAAATAGCAATTAACTTTATAAAAAGGTTTCTTTTGAAACGTAATAAACGCAAAAGTTCGTATCGTGAAATAAAACGGTCTGTTGACCTCAATTAAAGAAGGAGAAAGAAATTAAAAGAGCCCCTGCAAAGTTTAGTTTTTCATCCTTTGTTTGTTTTACCGAGCGACCCCTTGTCAGGAGCTCTTTGATTAGGCGCAAATGAAAGTATTTAAAAATCTGTTACATTAAATAAACAAAAGATATCATATTGCTTCTGTTTTGTTTTCGATTGTCAATATACAAAGACAAGAGCAGTTTTAAGCTTTTACATTAATCTCGTCTTACAAAATAAGGTTTCACTTGAAGATTAAAATAAGAGGCGTCGTAAAATGAACCATAATATACACCGTGAATTTTGGTTTACCTGAGAAAATTTACTAGCGAATTCAGACAACGATTTAGGTTATATTTCTACAAGAAAAGTAATAAATTATATCAATCAAATAAATGTACTTTTAGGATCTACCCTTTGATTATTTAAAGGATCTTCGTAATTTAAATGTTTTGGACTAATGTGTGCCGTTCAAAGGATATTTTGTAAACGTTATAAATCAATATTTTTATAAGGGATGTAGTGCGTTATATGGTTCTCACTATTTTTATTTAAACGATTATTAAGTTTCTCAAGTAATTCACGGTGTATAAATAAAAGGAAGAATGCCGATGAACTGGTACAAAATCATAACGACGATACCGAAGCCAGGCTAATTGGTCCGACTGTTTAATAATTTATATATTATTACTAGCCAGCGAACTTCGTATCGGTATAAAAATATGGGTGGTAGAAGGGTTAAAATTTGGGGTTGTATGTATTTTTGTGTTATGTATTCATAAAAAAATAAAAATAAAAAAAAATGCCTAAAAAATAATTTAAGTGTGGATCATCCTTTTTAACATTTAGGAGGATGAAAAATAGATGTTGTCCGATTCTCAGACCTAATGAATATGCATATAAAATTTCACGAAAATCGGTCGAGCCGTTTCGGAGGAGTTCAATTACGCACACCGTGACACGAGAATTTTATATATTAAAATATATTTCTTAATAATATTAAGGTAGCTGCTTAGTGTTTAAATATAAAGAAAATAATACTAGAAAAAAATCCACTCGGTCAGGGTTTCAGTCGGGATTCGAAACCGCATCTTCCGCAATCGGGGCGGACGCACTAACCAATAGGGATGATGACTATTTTTTTTTCTTCGTTTATCAAGTAGATAATCAAAAAGTATTGGACACTTTTTTTTTCACATAATATAAACATTGCAGAGATATATTGATTTGAAAAGTCGCATGACGTCACGTTTGAGTACACTTATAAGGGAAAATTCACTCAAAAGTGACGTCACGAGCCCCTACTCCCAAACTTTGACGCGCTATAACTTTGTAATTTTTTGGTTGATTGCAAATAAAAAAACGTGTCCATTATTTTTTGATCATCTAACTGACGGACTAAATAGAATTTCGTTTACTGTACCCCGTCATCACCCCTATTATATTGGTAATTATTTCCTCTAGTACTTCTTAGGCTGCGATGCTCATTTATTTATTTAAAATAAATACCTAGTTATTAAGCGTTCAATAATGTAAGTACTGTGTCGAGTTCAAAGCGACTTTTGATATTCTGTATATTTTAAATATTTACTACATTTGAATCATATAAAATATTAATGATTGATTACCTGTTCACGTGATAGTGTTTCCTCACGACCTTTTTCAAATAATTCATGTATGCACACATCACATTAAGGAGGCGTTACACCGTGGACCCTGTATTTCGTTATTACTTGGTCAATGAGTTACACCTTAACGACAATAGGGTATTTGACAGTGTTAAAAATAAAGTGCCAATAGTTAGCATCTGTGTTTAGAATGAATATTGGCAGAGGTTTTTACTATTTTTACAAAAAAAATATTCATAATTTTACTAAAAACTAACGAAAAAGATAATAGTTGTCTTATCTGTCGTCACGTGATCCAAAACGCTTGGGATTGGCGGAGCCCAAAATGACGTCTCACGTAAGTAAACTTTCGGTTAAAGTGACATTACATTGTATCGTTTGACGTTATAATAGTAGTCGTGTGACGTCACACACTAATAAGACGCCATTTTGTACAGAGAAACGTTTTCGCGGCAACTTGTAAATGGGGTTTTTGATTTGGTTATTTTTACTGAAATACACAACAGAATGATGAATATCCACTTTTTGCGGACTCCATAAACATTAGTCAATAACGTGAGACCGTTTTCTAAAACTTGTCAAATACCCTATTTGTTGTCACAAAAAAGTGTCAACATTTTTGTTTAATTCTTATATGAAATACGATAACAATAGTTATGAATTACTATATTTTTCGATAATTATAAATAAATCGTTAATACTTATTTTATGTCCGAAATCAAATTAACTTTTAGTGCAATATTGGCAAACGGACCGACACACTTCAGTTCGAGTCGCTCTGTATTGTTTTTGTTTGAAATAAGAACCGTGATAAGAATGTACCTTTTCCCCCTTATTAATGAACGAGGAATAAGCTTAGACTAGTTACGCCGTGTTTTGTTCATGTCACTCAAGTGTCATTTGTAATTCAATGAACAGAGACAAAAAAAATACTAACTAATCCAAACTTATTCGTCGTTTATTAATAAGGTGGTTTGTGTTTACAGTAATAGACATAATAAGTAATACTTACTTGAAAAACTATGGCTTCCCTTTTGATTTTGGAAAATTCCTTGAAAATTGTGTCGACGATCTCCAAGAACTTCTCTCGCTGTAGAAAACTGGGCCCATCTTTTTCGAAGTAGTCAAGAAAGTCGTAGAGTAAGAAATACGTCCCTGGAAATAATAATAATAAATAAATATTTCCAACACTCACACCAATTAGCCTAGCCCCAAAGTTATCTGTATAAGGCCTGTGTTATGGGATGCTTGGGTAATGGATAGAATGCATAAACTGTACATATATACTTCTATTTATATAGAATACACATTAAACATCCATGACTGGAGTGCAAATGCTCGTATTCCTCACACAAACATCTGCCCCTACCAGGATTCGAACCCGGGACCTCCCGAGTCGGCGACACCATGAAACCCGGCGTACAAACCACTCGGCCACGGAGGTCGTCAAAGGAAAAGCAAATATTAAAAAATGCGGTTTTTTACGTTCTATGAGTGTTATACCTACATACGTTTTTTTATGTTAAAAGAATAGCAAAGAAGCGTGTGGCCCGCCTGATGGTAATCAGGCCACCATAGCCTGAGGTTGCGATACCCAAATATCACTCGCACCGTTGTCTACCCTGACCCAATCGATTACCCAGCGGAGCCTTGTAAGCTTGCTCCCCGACAAAAACATAAATCCACCAAAAGGTAGTATTGTGTTACTGTGATATTTTGTTAGGTGGAGGTTACTAATAATAATAAAAATGAATAGAAAGAAACAAAGAACATAAAGACCTGTCACAAAACGGGGGTAGACGCAAAAAAAAGGTGGAGGGTACATCCCCATATTGGCGATTCAATTCGAGGGGGATATCCGCTATGTTCTACCTGACGTGTGCCAAACTAGGTTTAAGTGAACCTTATTTTACAAACTAAGGCCGCGGTGTTATATAAAATAGAGGATTAAAATTAAGGCTATTAAACGAAATTTCGATCGAAGTCCATACACACACACACACACACACACACACACACACACACACACGCACGCACACGCACACAGACACACACATATTAACCCTTTACAACCGATTCTATACGAGCTCGCCAGAAAAAGGAATTAGTATTAGCCTAGCCATCACACTAATATTATAAAGGCGAAAGTTTGTGAGTGTGTATGTTTGTTACTTCTTCACGTCTTAACGGCTGGAGCGATTTTAATAAAATTTGATATGGAGTTAGCTGACACCCTGGATTAACACATAGGCTACGTTTTACTGCGGGAAAATATCCCTAATAAACCGCGGGTAACACCGCGGGGCACAACTAGTAGTATATAAGACTTTAATAAATAGGTCATAAGCACATATTTTATATATACACTCATAATTCCTTACGGGGTTAGCAGTGCATCAAACCATGAGACAGTTGAGATAGAAATGTATATTATTATGAATTAAGCCCATGTAGCCAGATCAAACATGTGACATTCGTGTGATTGGATGACGAGGTCGGATTTTTGACTTAATATTTATTTAAAGAAAATATAACTAGAAAAAATTCCACGCGGACCAGGCAGCAAACGGGACTCGAACCCTCACCCTTCGCAATCCGGGCGAATGCACTGCCCAATTATGCTACCGCGGCCTTCACGGACCGCGTCGAAATTCTTCTAGCCATTCTTAAGCTGCAAGGCAGCACTTCGAGGTTAGTGCATGTTTCATCCAAAAGTTTCCCGATGCATACAGCCAAAATACCATAACTACAAAAAGCAAATTTCCATATTTTGTCATTTAACATAATAGAAGGAGTTAGTAATATTTAAAAGTTTTAACTGGATTTGTAGTATTGTAAGCCATATGGGCTTACATGTTAAATATTATCGATGACTGCGAATTTGGAAAAAAATACGATCGGCACCAATGAAAAGCCAATGAATAAGAAATATTCCGAACACACACACACCAATTAGATAGCCCCAAAGTAAGCCTTGTATTATGGGTTACTATGGTAACGAATAGAATACATTACAATTATACTGATACATTAAAAAGTACATTCATATTTATAAATACATATAAACAACCGTCATTCGATTTAGGAATAAATGCTCGTATTCATCACACAAACATTTGCCCCACCGGGATTTGAGCCTCTGAGTAAGCGACACCTTAAAAACTGGCGTTCATACTACGGAGATCGAAAAAAGGAAGAAAATCTTTTTGATGAAGAGTTACTAGTCAGTAACAACCTTGACTTTACAGAACGGAACTTTGTAAGTGAGCTTCATAATATTATTGTGGCATAATTTTTATCAATGCTGAACACCGTATAATAAAAAGATCGTTAGAGGGATATTATAGTTGTGGTGGAAATTGCGTCAAACCGTACAGCAGGTGGTAATTTCACCCGACTAATTCGTAGGTTCCCTTCAAGGGCACTCGTTAGCTTTGGTTGTTGTGGGGTATAATTGTTACCTTAGCAATTATACCCAAAACAACCAATGTCTTCTTAGAAATTGAGCACGCGCCGTTTCTGAAGTGAAACTTCTTTAGGCATGCTTGACTTGGGGGGTGAACTGGCGAATGTGTTACGATTTTACGTTGCGATTAGTGTATAGATAGCGAATTGGTGGGTGATAACGGACCCAGTGCGGATTGGTGGGTGATAACGGACCCAGCGCGTATTGGTGGGTGATGACGGACGCAGTGCGGATTGGTGGTTGATAACAGACCCAGCGCAGATTGGTGGGTGATAATGGACCCAGTACGGATTGGTGGATGATAACGGACCCAGAGCGGATTGATGGGTGATTTCAGACCCAGAGCGGATTGATGGGTGATTTCAGACCCAGAGCGGATTTGTGGGTGACAATGGATTCAGTGCGGATTGGTGGGTGATAACGGACCCAGCGCGGATTGTTTATTTATTCATTTATTGCATGTCACATAACATTCATGGTGGTACGTTAATTTATGTAAAGTAAATATGTGACGCCCTGCAAGGGCATAGCAAATATCAAGCCAGAGGGCTTGTTAAATAATTATATTATAATACTTAGTTCACATTTCATTTTTACACAACAAATATATTTAATAAAATAGATTTAACAATTTCAATAAACAACAATAATAATAATTTAATTTTTACACAACAAACAATTCAATTTTATAAACTAGATTTAACAATGTCAATAAGCAATAATAATAATAATGAAAATGTCAACTTTAAAAATCAATTACATTTGTCGTCAAAAAATTCTTTTAAATTATAAAAACATTTTTGGATTAAATATGATTTTAATTGATTGTTGAATTTGGCTGATATTTCTACGTTCTTTATATTATTAGGTACATTATTATAGATTTTTATTGTCATAGCATGAGGACTATCCGAAACCAATCTTAATTTGCTGTATGGCACTTCTAATTTATTTAAATACCTATTATTTCTTTTAACACTTACTATTGGTGAATAAAATTCTGGGTGTTTTCTTACAAATTTACATGATTCAAGGATGAGTATGGATGCAAGGGTCAAAATTCTATGTTTAATAAAATAAGGTCTACATGATTCCATCTGATCGATGTTTGTCAAAATTCGTATGCATTTCTTTTGCATTATAAATAATTTGTCTACGTCAGATGAGCTTCCCCACAAAATTATACCATATGATAGTATTGAATGAGCATATGCATAGTAAGCAGTAAGAGCGGATCTAAAATCAGTCACACGTTTTAAATGTTGAAATGCATAAACAAAAGATGACATCTTTTTTAACAGCCTTTGTATGTGGCATTTCCAGTTTAAGTGTGCATCCAACTCTATACCCAGCAAAGTAGCAGTATTGACAACATCAATCTTTGTGTCTCTATAACTGTACGATATGTCTAGTGGCACTTTTTGGTAGGGTCCGAATTGAATGAGCTTAGTTTTGCTAAGATTGAGTTGCAAATTGTGTGATTCTAGCCAATTCGTAATTTTATTAAGGGTAGAGTCTAGTTTAGATTGTAATTCTGAAGCACTTGAGCAAGATATTGAGATAGATATATCATCAGCAAACAGCACACACATCTCCTCCAGTACATTGGGTAGATTATTAATATAGGCAAGAAAAAAATTACACCCCAAAACGCTACCCTGCGGAATTGAACCAGTTACATGAATTAAATCAGATTTAGTATGTGTAATTTTACCTGTCTCAAAATCAGTATTTTCAATTTCCACGTATTGGTAACGATTTTCAAGATAAGATTTGAACCATTCATGAGGCAATCCCCTAATCCCCATTCCATATAATATATCCAGAAGAGTTCTATAACTGACCCTGTCGTAGGCCTTGCTCATGTCGAGAAGAAGGCCCACCGCGTACTTCCTATTATTTATTTGTTGGTAGACATCTTTTATAAATTTATAAACTGCTAGGATAGTGGAGTGATTTTTCCTAAAGCCATTTTGGCTTTCGTGCAAAATTTTAAACCTTTCTAAAAAAGAATAAAGCCGAATCGCCATAGCTGTCTCAAACACTTTGGATGAGGTCGTTAAGAGAGCCACTGGTCGATAATTATTAATATCAGTATATATTCCCCTTTTGTGAATAGGTTTTATTTTTGATATTTTCAAAGCATCAGGGAAAACGCCTTCCGAAAAAGATTGGTTTACCAGCATAGTGTATGGGACTGCCAAAACAGCGGCACAGCTTTTCACCAGGGTAGGAGGTATTTCATCGATTCCAAAAGATGTTTTACTTTTTAGATTTTTTATTATTTTGTATATTTCTTTAAAATCTACCGGTCGCAAGAAGAAACTTTGTTCGCTGTTAATTGTAGAAGGTGGTCTTCGCATGCTTTTAGAGACCGTATGTGAATTTCCAATTGCAGCAAAAAAAGAGTTAAAAGAATTGGCTACAAGTTTAGGATCGCTTTGTATTATATTGTCTGTTGTTTTAATTTTCGTATTTTTGTATTGTTGGATGTTTTTATTTGTCTCCTTATTTATTATTCGCCACATAGTTTTAGTTTTGTTTTGTGATTTCTCAAATACTTTTTTATTGCAACTTTTTTTAGATATATTAATAGCTTTTTTTAATATTTTACAGTACTGTTTATAATGATTTTTAAGATTATTATTACTTGTTTTTAATATTAATACTCTCAAGAATCTTTTATATC